ACAGCACTCTTCTTATTCTGTAACCTCAGGGGTTCCTCAAGGTTCAATCCTTGGCCCTATACTCTTTTTAATTTACATTAACGATCTTCCAGATATTCTCACATCTAAGGTGACATTGTTTGCTGATGATACTACCATTTATTCTTATCATAATAAGAAGCCAACTCTCTCTCTCTGATTGCTTGGAGGGGGCATTTGAGCTTGAAAAGGATCTCACTTCTGCTACAGCATGGGGCTCACAGTGGCTGGTGAACTTTAATTCAGATAAAACTCAATTTTTTTCAGCCAATTGTTATTGTAATAATTTAGACCTTCCTATATTTATGAACGGTAATGTACTTGATGAGTCTCCTACCCTTCATCTTTTAGGATTAAGTCTTACTTCTGATCTTTCTTGGAAACCTTATATCAAATCTGTTGCAAAATTAGCATCTGCTGAAGTTACATCTCTTTATCGAGCTCGACACTTTCTAACTCTGGATTCTATTCTCTATCTCTATAAATCTCAAATCCGGCCTTGTATGGAATACTGTTGCCATATCTGGGGCGGATCTACTAATGATGTCCTTTCTCTTCTAGACAAGGTGCAAAAACGCATTGTAAACATAGTTAGACTTGCTCTTGCAGCCAACCTTCAACCTTCTCTTTCTCTTTTCTATAAATACTATAATTGGCACTGCTCTAAAAGCTAGCGTCTCTTGTGCCATCTACTAAAATTCATTCTCATGTTATTCTTCATTCAATTAATTCTCATGCTTTTTCTGTTACTGTTCCTAAATACTCTAAAAACTCTTATTCATCTAGTTTTTTTACTCGAACATCAGTTCTTTGGAATTCGCTTCCTTCATCTTGCTTTCCTGATTTTTATAATTTGCAATCTTTTAAGTCATCTGTCAATCGTTATCTAGCTCTACAATATTCATCTTTTCTCTACCAGTAACTTCCAACACTAACTAGTGGTTGCTTGCAGCCTTGTTGAAAGCGAAGATGTTTAAAAAAAATAAATAAATAATAATAAAAAATATTCACTTTTTATATGGGAGCATATTAATTTAAAATTGGGGAAATCTAAGTTTTACAATCTGCGGCCATTCTATGTCAAGCTAGTAAACAATTTTCCCCATGATATTTGCCTTTGCATATACCATAAAAATTTCAGGATGTTAATGAATGCCCTTCAAAAAAAATTTAATATTATGTCAGGCATAGTTGACAGGTCTGTGTGTGATTAAAACAACCAATCTTGCATGTTTACGGAACTGTGTAAAGCAAACTGTGGGTTCGTAAATGTGTATCAAATGTTGGTAGAATAAAGACATACTTTGCCAAAGTATTAGAAACTGTAGATAATATGGCACATATAAAACTTCTAAAAGAACTCATTTTTATACCCATCTGTAGACAACTTTTCCTAGTACGACTTGATTGAGTTAAAACCGTTAGTACGCAACCACACTTTGATAACCATGGACACATTATTATTGAGCAATAGTGTTACAACCAAACTTATTGTTAAAAATTTGATATATCTTTCTTATCTTTAATATAACATATTAACTATATAATACATTATTTATTTTTAATATATTTTTAATACACTAAAATATTGTTTTTTAATTAAATGTGTATTTAAAATAATTAGTATTGATATATGATATTTATGATAGCCACAATTGATTTATTTTTAAAAACAATCCAAAAATGACTAATGTTTGCATGTTCCGTTAATTACTTTTTTTTAGAAATGCCCTATATATATATATATATATATATATATATAATATATATATATATATATATATATATATATATATATATATATATATATATATATATATATATATATATATATATATATATATATATATATATATCAGGGTGTTACCCACCAAAGTGAAAATATTGTGCTTTAGGTAATTGAATAATTTCCAAATCAGTCTTTTTATTAGGATTTTTTTATTAATTTTTTTTTTTTTTTATTAATTTTGTTGTTAATGTACATTGGTTACAGTTTTAGCAGGCCTTCACAATGTTTTGTTTCATAATTATACTAATTGTCACATTTTAGTTAATTTACCCCAAGTTTGGTAGATTTACTGGAAAATGGTTAGTTTTAATTATTTCTTTAGTAGAACTAACATGTTTTTACAATAATTTATTAATACTGTTAACCCTTGATTATCACTCTATCTTTCTTAATGAGATAATGATTAATTAACTAATTAAGTTACTTAATTATGATAAATAATGTTACTAATGACATAGTAAATGGATAAATATTGTCTATATATATTATTTTTTTATTAATTGTATAAAAATGATATATATTACATTTAATGGATTAAGTGTTTAAAATAAGAAAATAAGTGTTATAGGAAACTGAAATATAACAAGCTGTCAACCGAGCAACAAGTGAAAATAATGGTGCATCAGCAACAAGGCTTTTCATATCAGCAAACTGTTGATAAAATGTAGATAAGCAAAAAAAACTGTATATCTTAAAGTAAAGAGTATATTTTGAAAAAGCAATTAAGTCAATCTGCCAAGAAGCAGTATAGCAGAAATGGAAAATTTATCTTTCAGTAAGATAATGCACTGTAGCACAAAGTAAAAATCTAAAACAATCTCAGGTCACAGTGATCAAATAGTCAGCAAGAGCGCAGACTTGAATCTTATCAAAAATCTGTGGGAGGAGCTCTTTGGAAATGTGCAAAGAACAAAGCCAAGCAATATGAATGATTTGTAGATGCATATGGAGGCTGCTTGACGAGCTAGTGTCCATAATTCAAAATTTTCTACAACCTATCTGCTTATGTCGGGAAAAGATTACTACATCTATCCAGCAACATCTGTGAAGTAGTGAAATAACATCCACACATTTTTGTCCAAGATTATCTGCTTTTTTTTTTACTGAATTAACATCTGTCCAACAACATCCAAAACTTCATTGATGTTTAATAACATCTTTATAAAGATGAAACTACATCTGGGAGTTTTTCTTGATGTGTAACTACATCCGCCTAAAATAATGTATCATTAAATTAAATAAATTTCTGGATGTAGTTACATACGAAAAAAACAGATTTGTAATTACATCTGATTAAAATAATGTATTTATAAATTATTTTTTTCCCGGATATAGTTACATCTGAAAAAAATTAGATGTGTAACTACATCTGGTTGAAATAATGCATTATTAAAAAAAAATTCCGGTTACATTTATAAGTTACATATATAATTATTATATTATATAAGTGCTGCTACATTGACTGACAAATAGCCTGACTCACAATGGAGCGCTGCTACATCGACTGACAAATAACCTGACTTGCAACAGAGTGCTGCTACATCGACTGAGGGTTTGGTTTAGTCAGGCAGCCTATCGAATAATTTAAAAAATAAAAAAAAAATTTATTATGCTCAAAATAATGTATTGTAATAATTTTTTGTATATATATATATATATATATATATATATATATATATATATATATATATATATATATATATATATATATATATAAACATACGGATATAGTTACATCTGAAAAAAATTAGATGTGTAACTACATCTGGTTGAAATAATGCATTATTAAAAAAAAATTCCGGTTACATTTATAAGTTACATATATAATTATTGACTGAGGGTTTGGTTTATATATATATATATATATATATATATATATATATATATATATATATATATATATATATATATATATATATATATATATATATATATATATATATATATATATATATATATATATATATATATATATATACACTTACTAATGCGTGTTTTGATAAGCATTTGCTCACTCTTTGTGCTTACTTTTAGGTATACCGTTTTTTTCGAAAAAGAAGAAAAAAACGAAGAATGACAAATAAAACGATTGCTTCCCCATCCCAAACCCTCAGTCGATGTAGCAGCACTCCACTGCGAGTCAGGCTATTTGTCAGTCGATGTATGTACTGAAGCCCCCAGCAGCCGGCCATTTCAGTATGACGTCAGATTGCTTACCAAAGTACGCAATACTATTTGTATATATATATATGTACTGTAGATGGGGGTAACTAAAGCCTACGGGGAAACTAAAGCCATTATAGCAGGTAATTTTTGGATGGCGATAGTGGCAGCACTGTTTGGATTCAACAGCTGATGTTGTGTTCTTCTAATAAGAACTTGGACTGCTTTCCAAATACTTGTCTGGATTATTAAAACAATATCACGGTAAGTGTACAGTAAAACTATATATTTAACCTAAAAAATCGATAAAAAAGTTACCTTGCATAACTTCTGCTCTGAACAAATCATTTTTAATCTTAAATTCTCATAACTCTCAACAAACATAACCTCAATTTATGTTTCATCACACCTTTAAAGGTTATAACCTATAACTTGATTCTTTCTTTTGTTGTGATGTTTTTTTTTTCAGTGATACACAACATGGGGTAACTAAAGCCACATCATAAAGGTGGCTTTTGTTACCCCATACTTTATAATAAGTCAAAATTCCTTAAGTAATAAATTTTTTCTCTTTTTTAGGACTAAAAATGCCTCGAAACCCAAAGAAGAAGCTTGGTAGCCGGAAGTATAAGGATTACACAGATGAAACGGAGATACCAGTAGATCTACAACTAGAAGAAACAACTTATGACGAACCCCCCAAAATAGGAGTCAGTAGATTTGCTGGCCAGCAAAAAAGTACAAAAAGGAGATTTTAAAATACTAGATGTTTATTTTTGCTGCAGTTTATTAATTGATAACTTTTGTGATTAATTACATTTATATGTTGTGTATTTTAGTATGTTATCCATGATGCAAGATTTAACAAAAATTTTTCTTGCAAATATATTAAAAAAAATTTCAATATTTTCTTTAGTATCTATTTTATAAAATAGATAATAAAATTTAGATTTAACTCTTTTTAACTATTCAAAATAAATTTTATAATCACTTCAAAAATCATTATGGTCGAAAACATTAAAAGACTTACTCAATAAAATAATCATCAGTATGAAGTTTGTGGTGAAGCCATTCATGATTTCTAATTTAAAAGAAGTTTGTGATGAAGCCATTCATGATTTCTAATCTAAAAGAGAAGGTAATGACAACAACAACAAAAACATTAATTTAAGAATTTTTGTTTACATAATAAAAAAATACTTCCAATATTTAAAAATGTGATAAATATATTAAATTTTAATTAAAACTTACCCAAAAATATGAAATATACAAAATTAATCAAATAAAATTAATAAATAATTTTATATCAAATTAAAAAAAATTAACTTTTAAATGAAAAACAGGAAAATACATCAGTCTTTAAAAAAAAAAAATTTTTGAACACAACAAAGCTGTTTTTCAAAAAAAGAAAAACTTTTATTTAATAGTATATATATATATATATATATATATATATTTATATATATATATATATATAAATATATATATTTTATATATATATATATGTAATATTATATTATATATATAACAGTATATATATAACATATATATATATATATATATATATATATATATATATATATATATATATATATATATATATATATATATATATATATATATATATACATATATATATATATATTCTAATTTAACAATTAGAAAATGGGGATAATTTTAATTATCCCCATTTTAGTATATTCGCTACATGTATTACAAAGTTAAATAAGAACTCGAAACATGATTTTATATATTGTTTTACTAACAACTTAAAAGATGTTTCTTAATAACTTCAAAAATTTCAATACATGTTGACTGGTTAAAATGACCCATATCAATATACTCATGCAATTCTGCATTTAGGCTTTCTGAAACCAATTTTTGCTCACTCCAAGGTAAGTAAGGATCATCTATTGAGCCAAATTGACAAATCCATTGTGTATTTGCCTTCACCATGTCCCATCGCCAAGGTCTGTCAAAATATCCACTTTGTTTTTCTATACTATCTCCAAGATCGGAAGCATAAGCACTGACAAAGACAACACCATAAACTTTGAACTTTTCAGCATAGCGAACTGCTGCACAAGCACCACTGCTATGACCAATAATAAGTGTATGTTCATCAATAAGAAGTTCATCATGCATGAAAGTAATCCATTGTGACTCTCTCGCATATATTGGATCAGGCATATTACGTAACACGCAGGTAAACTCATTGATGCTGTTGAGCTTCTTATTTAACCAACCATACCAGTTGGAGTAAAATACATCACCGGCTCCATTCCCTGGAATGATAACAGCTTTTTTACATATAACCATGACTTTTCTGAATTTAAATATATAAATTTAAAAAAAATTTTCTATCTAATAAAAATTTTTAATCAATAAAACTTTACAGTATATAAACAACTTCAACTTTCTTAAGTTATTAAAAAAAAACAAATATAAAAAACTTGATTTTGTAATCAGTGATTACTTTTATAAATTTAAATTAATTTTTCAAACATATTACTACGTTTGACTAATGTATGATTTACTAAGTATAGGAACAATGTATGACTTATTATAAAAGTATACCAAATTTTGGTTGTGCACATTTAGAAAAATTTTAAAATGCTATTATAATAGAAAACTATTAATATTCTACAAAAAACTTAAAAAACTTATAATTCTTTCATTTTCTAATAAAATATACAAAAAAATATATAGAATAATTAAACAATTTATCCAAGTCATCATAAATATATTCATTGTTATATATTTATATATAAAAATTTTAAAAAATAAATAAAATATATATACATATATATATATATATATAAATATA